ACGTCCAATCAGACACGTTTATAATAAATGATTATCTGATGCTACAGTGACTGGATAGAAACGGAATAACAATATGAAGCAAAGGATATTAAAACACGCTGCAGTGATTCCTCTGCATCAAACACAGAAACTCTGAAGCGTCTCGTGATTCTGGGATAACTTTAGAATCAAAACGTCGCTCTCTCATTATTTATTTATTTATTAGTTTATTTAAATAGGGACAATATCTCTGGGAATGTGCGTGTATTTGCTAACAGCTAGTTTCCAAATGAGGTTTCTCACTTTTGGGAATGGTTTCTCTCTGATGGAGGAGGTCAAAGGACATTTATGAACCTTTTTGGACAGTGTTTGTCCCGCTCTTGATGGACCAACGGCTCCTCTGTGTTTGTTATCACTGCATTTCCTGTTTGATTTTCTGATCTGTTGTTGAGGAATCGACAACGTTGCAAATTCGACAGCTGTTGTTGATTAGGGTTGTACGTAAATAAATGGAATTCGTTCATCGACCCCTAATGTTTACTCTTTGAAGAAAGCCATGTACGTTTTTCTTTTTTTCATTTTCTAAGACGTAGGACAGAGAGAGAGACCAGAGCGAGACCAGAGAGAGACCAGAGAGAGACCAGAGCGAGACCAGAGAGAGACCAGAGAGTGACCAGAGAGAGACCAGAGAGGGACCAGAGAGAGAGACCAGAGAGAGACGAAACCAGAGAGAGACCCGAGAGAGACCAGAGAGAGACCAGAGAGAGACCAGAGAGAGAGACCAGAGAGAGACAAGACCAGAGAGAGACCAGAGAGAGAGACCAGAGAGACCAGAGAGAGACCAGAGAGAGACCAGAGAGAGAGACCAGAGAGAGACCAGAGAGAGACCAGAGAGAGAGACCAGAGAGAGACCAGAGAGAGACCAGAGAGAGACCAGAGAGAGAGACCAGAGAGAGACAAGACCAGAGAGAGAGAGACCAGAGAGAGAGACCAGAGAGAGAGACCAGAGAGAGAGAGAGGAAAACAGAGGACTAAGGTGAAGGACAAAGGATTAGGAGGAGGTGAAAGTCGGTGAAAAATCTTGACAGGGCGTCGGCTCTGTATCTCAGCCTGGTCTCACCTCACTGACCACGACGAGCCCGAGCAGCCAGAGCTAGCATTAGCGCTGAACCCACAAAGACAATCTCACACCTCTCCTTTCTTTCTTTCTTCCTCATTAACTTTACCTTAATCACGGCTCACCCACTTTGAGCAAAGTCTGTCAAAGAAGCAGAAATGGGTAAAACTTCAGGTCCATTCACAAGAAATTGGTGGAAAATGTCAAAAACGCTGATTCTATTTTGAGACCGAGGCTTTAATGGAAAAAGTCTGAGAAGTTTGCAGATCGGAAAATTGGCTCCAAAACGGTTCATGGAAGAAGAGTTGATCTGTTCGTATTTTTAAGTTTATTAATTGTAATGTATTGGACTTTACAACTTTGTCAATTTGCCAACGACAGGTCAGAGAATCAAAAAGTTCACAAACAGGAAATGCAATGGTCCACATATGTATGAGTCAGGGAGGGTCTCTCTTTTTCACTTCATGGTCTGAAAAAGTGGATCTAAATATGTGAGAGAGGCCAAGGATGCACACCAGAGAGAGACCAGAGAGAGACCAGAGAGAGACCAGAGAGAGACCAGAGAGAGACCAGAGAGAGACCAGAGAGAGACCAGAGAAAGACAGAGAGAGTCAAGAGGGAGTCAAGAGAGAGACCAGAGACCAGAGAAACATCAGAGAGAGTAAAGAAAGAGAGACCAGAAAGAGACCAGAGAGAGACCAGAGAGAATAAAAGAGAGAGACCAGAGAGAGACCAGAGATAGACCAGAGACCACAGATACACCAGAGCGAGTAAAGAGAGAGAGACCAGAGAGACTCCAGAGAGAGAGAAAGCAAGAGAGGGAGAGAGAGAGAGAGAAAGAGAGAGGGAGAGAGAGCGAGACCACCGATACGCCAGAGAGAGATAGACCACAGAGACTGAAGAGAGACAGAGAGAGACCAGAGAGAGACAGAGAGAGACAGAGAGAGACCAGAGAGAGACAGAGAGAGACAGAGGGAGACAGAGAGAGACAGAGAGAGACCAGAGAGAGACCAGAGAGAGACAGAGAGAGACCAGAGAGAGACCAGAGAGAGACAGAGAGAGACAGAGAGAGACCAGAGAGGGACCAGAGAGAGACAGAGAGAGACAGAGAGAGACCAGAGAGAGACAGAGAGAGACAGAGAGAGACCAGAGAGAGACCAGAGAGAGACAGAGAGAGACAGAGAGAGACCAGAGAGAGACAGAGAGAGACAGAGAGAGACCAGAGAGACGAGGTGAGGGTGGGCCTCTCTTTTTCTTTTTTCACTCTGAAGAAAGTTTGATGGATTTTTCTTCTGCAGTTAATTGTTGTGTGGTTCAAAAGCTCGATTCTAATCACAAACATTACATTAATAATGTTAACAAAAATCTCGACAGCTCTAATACTGTCCCGAGGTGGGTCCTCAGCTCACCCATGATTGGCAGTGACTGCGTCCTGCTGGAGCACTCCCTGACATTAGCACAGGGTTATGGGAGCACAGGTACAGTGTCCTCTCCGCAGCCGTCTCACCCCTGCCCCCACTAACCAGACCAGAGAGAGTCAAGAGAGAGACCCGAGGGAGTAGAGAGAGAGACTAGAGGGAGACCAGTGACCAGAGGGAGACCAGAGACAGTCAAGAGAGAGAGACCAGAGAGTGTAGAGAGAGAACAGAGAGAGTAAAAGAGAAAGAGACCACAGATACTCAAGAGATAGAGAGATATAGAGGGAGAGAGAGATCACAGAGAGACCAGAGAGAGAGAGACCACAGAGACTCAAGGGAGAGATAGAGAGAGAGAGTGTCCACAGAGAGACCAGAGAGAGAGAGAGAGAGACACAGAGAGAGAGAGAGTGTCCACAGAGAATGAAGAGAGAGAGAGACCAGAGAGAGACCAAAGTTTATTGACCAGATGAGGGTGGTCCTCTCTTTTCCTCTTTTCCGTCTAAAGAAAGGAACAAGTTTGATGGAATCTTTCTCATGCAGTGCTTGACAGTGACTGCGTCCCGCTGGAGCACACCCTGACATCAGCACAGGGTTATGGGAGCACAGGTACAGTGTCCTCTCCGCAGCCGTCTCACCCCTGCCCCCGCTAACGAGCCGCTGAGTGGGCTAATGTCATCGAGCTAACGAGTGATGGCCTCGCCGACACCCCGAGCCACTCAATGGACGGACAGATGGCCTGGAGGGAGAGAGACCCCGCTAATGGCAGCAATACAATATAGTAAAAGGCATTTAGCCGCAGACTCCTGGATCCACAACGACTGGTCCCTGAGTGCTTTTATTTTTAGAATGTGAGGCCGTGGTCTAAATCAAGAGGATCTAACTGCCCGAGGAGTACTTTAAAGCTCGGCTGCCAAGAGGCTAAAGAACGGGCCGCGGCGTTAGTGGAATATAAACATGGAGTTTGAACCGGACTTTAACAGGACTCGCAGAAATGTGAAACTAGAGGAAGTCCCGGAGACGCCATTTTTAAGTGTGTGAGTTCAGACCAATGGGATTCTCAGAGATTCTCCTGAAAACTGCTGAGTTCAGATTTATGAAAAGTAAGGAGATCATGTTTTATTATCATAACAAGAGCAAGGAGATGAAAGAGAGACAAGAGAGAGACTAGAGAGGGACTAGAGAGAGACTAGAGAGAGAGAGAGACCAGAGAGAGACCAGAGAGAGAGAAAGACCAGAGAGAGACCAGAGAGAGACCAGAGAGAAAAACCAGAGAAAGACCAGAGAGAGACCACAGAGAGACCAGAGAGAGAGAAAGACCAGAGAAGAGTCCAGAGAGAAAAACCGGAGAGAGAGAGGGACTAGAGAAAGACCAGAGTGACATGGATTTCATTTCTTGTGGTTTAACAGTGACAGAGCATTGCACAGGACTGTAGAGGAGCTGAGGCACCCTCAGTGTAGGAAGGAGCGCTACCGCAGGGCCTTTATCCCCACCGCTGTCAGACTGTACAATAAGTCACTTTAACACTCTTTCCAATTGACACTTGACACTTTGTTGTAAATAATTATCCTGCATGTAACATGTTTGCACATTTCCTCCTTTTGCACAATCTGAGTGTTCTATCCATGCCAAATGTGACATGTACATTTCTCCTCTGTGAGATAAATGGCAGGTGTGCGTGAGCAGGGTGCGTGAGCACACGCTTGACACATTAACTTAAAATCAAGCAAATACGTATGTGAACTAAGTAGCCAAACAAATCTATTGTTGCCTGAAGGGTTGCGCTACAGATTTGTGTAGAAAGAATGAAGAAGGGAAGGAGTCAGAAGCGAAGCGAACAGTCGGAACCCAGGTCAGCGCAAGACACTGGGTTGGATGCGGAAGAGCCTGAGAAAATGTCTGATAACGCAGGAGAAATCTCAGAAATCCTTAAAGAACTCAGGCAATTTCGAAATGAAACATCAGGGAACTTTGCGGATCTGAAAAAAGAGGTTACTGACCTAAAACAGAACTTTGATCATTTAAAAATAAGAATGGACGAGGCTGAACAGAGGATTGCGCACAGTGAGGATAAGAGCATAGAGCTCACTAAAGTGCTCTTTCATATGATGCGCAAACAAAAGCAAATAGAGGAGAAATGTGAAGACTTGGAAAGCCGTTCAAGAAGAAAAAACCTACGAATCTACGCTGTACCGGAGAAAGCGGAAGGTGAAAATATGGTGGAATTTATTAAAAAGTGAATCCGTGAGCAGCTAAATAACCAAGAGGAAATCTTCATTAAAAGGGCGCACCGCGCAGCTGTTATCTCCTCAAGACGCACCGATTATGCCAGATCCATAATTGTCCGATTCAGAAGCTATGTTGAGAAGCAAAGAGTACTTCACGCAGCGTGGGGTCAAAGAGAAGTTTGCATTAAAGACCGAAGAATCTATTTCGATGAAGACTTTGCAGCCGGAGTGTTTAAGGAGCGCGTGAGTTTGGCGTCACCATGGAATTACCAAAGAAAGAGCTGGATTGGGAGAAGGCCCTGTGCGCCGTGGGCTGGGAATCTCAACGCAGCAGGGGCAAACACGCTCCCGCAGGTGAAATAACGACCAGCGTTGAAATGCTTCGCCGTTCTTTGGATGTGCACGAAGAGATCAAAATGAACGATGAATAAGGTACGTGATCCGTTTCCGCGAGGGAACGAGAGGTGCACTGATCAACAATAATGACTGCAATGAATGATTAACTCACACATGTTGAAAGTACTGAATGCTCACATAGTTTTGAGGATGATTTGGACATAGAGAAGAATTTCCACCAGCAACCAAACTATGCGTGTAAATATTACACTGATGCTGAATTCAACGACGAAGTTAAAGCGGAAAAAACAATTACGTTCATTCATTTTAACTCCCGGAGCATGTATTCAAATTTTGTTGAAATTCAGGAGTATTTAAGCACATTAAATAATACATTTACGGTGGTTGCCTTAACTGAGACGTGGTTAACAGAGGATAAAGGTGTGGAATTTAATTATGAAGGTTATGAGTTCTTTTATGTAAATAGAACATGCCGGAAAGGAGGTGGAGTTGCTTTATTTGTCCGTAGTGATTTGAAATGCAAACGTGTTGAACGCATGACAACAGCAATAAATGATTTAATGGAATGTTTAACCGTTGAAATTGAAAGGGAGAACAAAAAAAATATTGTAGTTTCATGTATCTATAGAACTCCAGGCTCCAGTATAACTACATTTATTGAAAAACTGGAAGAAATATTTTTTGTTTTGAATGAAAATAAAAATATCTTTATTTGTGGAGACTTTAACATTAATTTGCTTAATTTGTCTACTGATGCCAATAGTTCAAATTTCCTGGATGTCATGTACAGTAAAGGCCTGTATCCAGCCATCACAAAGCCCACTCGAGTCACTCCTAGTTGTACTACTTTGATTGATAATGTTTTCTTAAATGTGGGCTTGCTAGAAAATTCAGTTAAGAGTGGTATTCTGGTAAATGACACAACTGATCATCTTCCTGTATTTGTAATTTACTCATGTGAAATGAAAAAGAATGAGAAAAAAAAGCCCATAGTTCTTAGAATAAGAAATGAGGAAACATTAAGGACATTTCATGATGATCTCTTAAAGGAACAATGGGAAAGTGTTTATAAAGCTAACGAGGCAAATGAGGCATACAACAAATTCCTTGAAAGATACATGCTGTTGTACGATAAGAACTGCCCCAAAAAAATATTTGAAGATAAACCAAAAAATTATGAGAAGCCCTGGTTAACAAGGGGGATATTAAGAGCATGCAAAAAGAAAAACAAACTCTACAAAGATTCCTTAAAATTGAGAACACCAAATGCTTATAAAAGATACAAAGAGTATAAAAACAAATTGACCAGTATCAAGCGTAATGCAAGAAAAGATTATTATTCAAACATATTATCAGACAATAAAAGTAATGTCAAAGAAATGTGGAAAGTTCTACACCAAGTTATAGGCAATAAAGTTATTCACAGTCACCCATCCTTCTTGGTTAATGAACAGGGCAGACAGATGGATCCCGCAGAAATGGCAGATGCACTTAATTCTTTCTTTGTTAATGTTGGCCCTAACCTTGCCAGATCAATTCAAATGACAAATCACAATGAAGATAATTGGAACCATGAAAATAAAGTTATGCAATCTTATATCTGGATGAAGTCAGTGAAACTGAAATTAGTGCCTGTATCTCTAAAATGAAAAATAAAAAATCATGTGATAGTGATGGTTTAGATATGTTCATTGTGAAAAGATCTATTGACTGCATCTGCAAACCATTGAAACATTTTATTAATCTTTCTTTTAACACTGGCGTTTTTCCAGACAAAATGAAGATAGCGAAGATAATCCCCATCTTCAAATCGGGTGATAAGCACAGTCTGACAAACTATCGACCTATATCGTTGCTCTCCCAATTTTCCAAGATACTAGAGAAGCTTTTTATCGATAGGTTTGACAAGTTTATTGAAAGATTTTTTCTGTTAAATGACAGTCAATATGGCTTTAGGAGTAATAGGTCAACAGCCCTTGCACTCATGAAAATAACAGAGGACATTACAACTGAATTAGATAAAAAAAATCACACAATCGGAGTCTTTATTGATCTGAAAAAGGCTTTTGATACTGTTGACCATCACATTCTTCTCAATAAATTACAGTCTTATGGAATTAGAGGTGTCGTGTTGCAAAGGGTTGCCAGTTACTTGAAAAATCGTCAACAATATGTAGATTTTGCAGGACACCTATCAAAGAGTCAGCAGATAAATTGTGGTGTACCACAAGGGTCTGTTTGGGGCCAAAACAGATAGTGTCATCTGCACTATTTGCAGATGACACAAATTTCTTTTGTTCTGGGACGAATATAAGTACTTTAATTACTACTATTGAAAAAGAAATGGTCCTACTTCAAAAATGGTTTAATGCCAACAAACTCTCCTTAAATGTAAGCAAAACCAAGTTCATGCTGTTCACCAATCAAAAAAGGGTGGAAGATATTGATTTATATTTTAATGGTGTTAAAATCGAAAGGGTTTCCGAAATTCATTTCTTAGGAGTCATTATTGATGAAAACCTAAAATGGAAGCGACACGTTGCTTCAACAAAAAAGAAAATCTGTAAGAATCTTGCCATATTGAGCAAAGTTAAATATCTGTTAAATTACAAGGCAATGCAAACTCTATACTGTTCTTTGATCCTCCCATATTATATGTATTGCCTTGAAATCTGGGGCAACTCCTACAACACTAATTTAATACCTTTAGTCATTCTACAAAAAAGAGCTTTACGAATAATACACAAAACTGCTCCAAGAACACACAAATGAACTATTTTTGAAGTCAGGACTGTTAAAAATGAAAGATTTAATTGTATTACGGACATTATTGATTATGTTCAGAGCAAGACATTATTTATTGCCCCGTGGCCTTCAAATGTTTTTCTTGGTAAACGATGAAATCAGCAGAAGGAATCTGGATTTTAAAATGCCTTTTGCAAAAACAACACTTAAACAAATGTCCATCTCATACGCTGGTGTAAAACTGTGGAACTCTGTGGACAATGAATTAAAAACATGTTCAAATATATTACAATTTAAGTTTAAATGTAAACAAAAAATGATCAAATCTTATGTTAAATGAAGTGAGAAATAGTATTGTATTTGTATTTGTTGTATTTTGACATAAAGCCATCTATGTTTGTTGTCTTACTGTCATAAGATTGGGGTAGGGGTTTAAATAAGACTTGGTCTTCATCCTACTCCTGTTCTTTATGTGACTGTAATGTTATATAAGAACGAATAAATAAATAAATAAATAAAAATAAATAAATAAATAAAGCACATCTTATCTTATCTTACATCATTCCGGTGTAATACACTTTCTCATCAGTCTCTTCACTATATGAACCAACTCTGAGGAGCACAGGGACTGGCCTCCTGCTGGGACTCTGAGGAGCACAGGGACTGACCTCCTGCTGGGACTCTGAGGAGCACAGGGACTGACCTCCTGCTGGGACTCTGTGGAGCACAGGGACTGACCTCCTGCTGGGACTCTGTGGAGCACAGGGACTGACCTCCTGCTGGGACTCTGAGGAGCACAGGGATTGATCTCCTGCTGGGACTCTGAGGAGCACAGGGACTGGCCTCCTGCTGGGACTCTGTGGAGCACAGGGACTGACCTCCTGCTGGGACTCTGAGGAGCACAGGGACTGACCTCCTGCTGGGACTCTGAGGAGCACAGGGACTGGCCTCCTGCTGGGACTCTGAGGAGCACAGGGACTGGCCTCCTGCTGGGACTCTGAGGAGCACAGGGACTGGCCTCCTGCTGGGACTCTGAGGAGCACAGGGACTGACCTCATGCTGGGACTCTGAGGAGCACAGGGACTGGCCTCCTGCTGGGACTCCGAGGAGCACAGGGACTGGCCTCCTGCTGGGACTCTGAGGAGCACAGGGATTGACCTCCTGCTGGGACTCTGAGGAGCAGAGGGACTGGCCTCCTGCTGGTCCCAGAGTCAGGAGTAAACGGAGGCTGCATTCCAGATTGGTTCAGCCAAAATCTGGAACAATCTTCCAGAAAACGTGAGACAGGCTTCTTCTCTGACCATGTTCAAATCCAGTTTCGCTGCAAAAACTGAAGGATTTTATTGTTTCTTACATTTATTATTCATTATGTACAACTTTAAGCATTGTCTGACTGAATCTCTCTTGCTCTATTCCCCAACATTATGCCCGCATCCTTGAGCAAGACACTTTCTCATTAATCCACAGAGTTATTGCTACAGCAAAGCCAACTTTTTGCACTTTTGGACTTGTTTGGACCCGTTTGGCCCCGGCTCACTCTGGCCACACTCCTCCATGGCTCCACTGGGACTACAGAGCCAAGGCCACTGGGATTTGGAGGCAATTGGAAAAAGAAGCAGAGAAATCAATGAGACCGCGGCGTCCATGGCCTTTTCTGCGGTCGTAAAGACACACTCACACTGTTGGTAAACTGAGCTACAGTCCAGAAGTCTGAGCGAGGCGTGATCGAGTGGACCGAGAACCAGCACACGCATGTACAGTAGCACACACATGTACAGTAGCACACACATGTACAGTAGCACACACATGTACAGTAGCACACACATGTACAGTAGCACATACATGTACAGTAGCACACACATAAAAATACACAATAAGGCAAGCTTATTTGTATTGCACAGGGAGGCAACTCTAAAGGCAAAGAAAAACAAGATGGAAGCAATGGAAATGATTTATCTCTAGTCTCTCTCTCTGGTCTCTGCCCTGGTCTCTCTCTGGTCTCTCTGGTCTCTGCCCTGGTCTCTCTCTGGTCTCTGCCCTGGTCTCTCTCTGGTCTCTCTCTGGTCCCTCCCTCTGGTCTCTCTGGTCTCTCTCTGGTCTCTCTTGTCTCTCTATGGTCTCTCTCTGGTCCCTCCCTCTGGTCTCTCTGGTCTCTCTCTGGTCTCTCTTGTCTCTCTATGGTCTCCCTCTGGTCTCTGTATTGTCTATCTCGGGTCTCTCTATTGTCTCTCTCTGGTCTCTCTCTCTGGACTCTCTCTCTCTGGACTCTGCTCTGGTCTCTCTGGTCTCTCTCTGATCTCTGCCCTGGTCTCTCTTGTCTCTCTCTGGACTCTGCTCTGGTCTCTCTGGTCTCGCTCTGATCTCTCTGGTCTCTCTCTAGTCTCTCTCTGGTCTCTCTGGTCTCTGCCCTGGTCTCTCTGGTCTCTCTCTGGTCTCTCTGGTCTCTGCCCTGGTCTTTCTGGTCTCTCTCTGGTCTCTCTGGTCTCTGCCCTGGTCTCTCTTGTCTCTCTCTGGTCTCTCTGATCTCTGCCCTGGTCTCTCGCTCTTGTATTGATAAACAAAACATCCAAATCATAAATAATCACAGTACGCCCTGCTCCCTGTGGACCAATCCTGTGTTTGATGAAGCTTAAGTGAAAGTTCAGACCAGTAGACTATTTACCTCAGGCCACGCCTTCCTCAGCCAATCACAACGGCTTCATCAACTTCCTGACAGCCGCTAATCAAGCCAGCGCTGAAAAGCTGGAAGCTACACACCAAACAGCCTTTCAAGACGCGATCACCTCCTCCACCTTCTCCCCCACCTTCTCCCCCACCTCCTCCCCTCTTCCTCCCCCCCCCCCCACCTCCGCCTTTGGATTTCTTCACTCCCTCACATCCACCTTGCCCTGTTGCCACTATTGACTGTTAAAATTAATGTCTGTAGTCACGCCTATCTCTCCTCCCTCGTCCCTTCCTCCTCCCTGTCCCCCTCTCTCTCTCTCATCTCTTTCTCCTCCCCACATCTCTTTCCCTCTCCCTCCCCCTCTCATCCCCCTCTCTCTCCCTCTCCACCCTCTGCTCCCACTTCTGCTGTCCCTCCCCACTGTCCTCTCCCTCTCCCTGTCTCCCCCTGTCTCTCTTCCCCTCTCCCCCCTCCACCCCTCTCAGTCTCCCCCCTCTGCCAGCTCCTGCCCTCACACATGACAGTGTCAGTGGCCTTGGGAGCCAAGAGAGGATCAGTGTCAGAGGTGTCGGGACGCGCTCCCTCTGTTGAGACGCACACAGAGGACAGTGAGTCGCTGCCAGAATCAATGCCACCTCCATCCATCACCTCCTGCTCCGAGGAGGATGAGGAGGAGGAGGAGGTCTGATCTGAAGGACTCTCACAGGGCGCAGCGTGTCCCTGTGATCAGACGTCTGTGGGTCTATGAAGAGGCCCCTTCTGCCTGAACGTTAGGAAAACTAACTTTTAAAGCACAGACTATAGACGTGTGTGAGAGTAGCTCCTGGCTCTAAAACATCTTTCAAACTATTATTTTATATAAACAAATAGAAGAGGAGAATAAACATGTTAGTGTTGGTTTTATGAACCAACTGAGGAGCACAGGGACTAGCCTCCTGCTGGGACTCTGAGGAGCACAGGGACTGGCCTCCTGCTGGGACTCTGAGGAGCACAGGGACTAGCCTCCTGCTGGGACTCTGAGGAGCACAGGGACTGGCCTCCTGCTGGGACTCTGAGGAGCACAGGGACTAGCCTCCTGCTGGGACTCTGAGGAGCACAGGGACTGGCCTCCTGCTGGGACTCTAAGGAGCGCACACACACTGACATATCTACACACACTCTCACACATTCAGACACACACAAACACAGAGACACATCTACATACACACACACTCCCACACACATATGAACAGACGGACCCATGCATGCAAACAGAGGCACACACAGTCACACACACACACACACAGAGAGAGACACATACACACACACACACACACTCCCCCCACACGCACACACGCACACACACAGACACACACACACCAACACACACACACACACACACACACACACACACACACACATAGACCCAAACACACACATAGACACACACACACACACACACACACACACACACACACACACACCAACACACACACACACACACACACACCCTTCTGCATCAATGGGAGGAAAAAGCCACAAAGACGTCCATTTTTTGCGAACAAAGAGAATTTAAGGTGCTACTTTCGGCACATTTCACACTCTCTCAGCACAACACGAGGCGCCGGAGTCGAACATTTGCGAGATTAGAGATCCGGGTCCGTAATCTCCGCACGAGCCTGGGAGATCCAACAGAATAGATATGAGCTCTTTAGCCGCTCAAAGTATTCAAAGTGAGCTGCAGGTAACGACAGAAGGACCTTGAGAACCGCAGCAGATGCCACGAAAACTTGTTAATTAGACACAGAAACTCCGGCTCGCATCTGAAGCCGCAATTAGTGTGGAATTAGATAAAAACAAAACGTGATGAGGCGTCAAACGGTAATCTTTGAAACGGGCAAAAGAATCTCGTTCTATCACAGAGAGGAGTGTGGAGAGAGAGAGAGAGAGAGAGGACTGTCGAGAAATGTGCGGTGGATTCTTTTGAGATGATGCCACATCGGCTCCGAGTAGAATCTGTGTTCGTGTTTCGTTTGCTGAATGTAGTATCGTTTCCACAACTCATTAAAAAGTCATTTAAAGATTGAATAAAGTCACCTTTATGAGAAAAGAGAATCGTCGCAGAGACTTCAGAAAATACCATTGATTAAGATTAAGAATGAAAAGAGTGGGTTTTGTAGAGATTCCAGGGAGTTTTACACATGTCCTGGGTCTACAGCCTCAGTCCTGGGTCTACAGCCTCAGTCCTGGGTCTACAGCCTCAGTCCTGGGTCTACAGCCTCAGTCCTGGGTCTACAGCCTCAGTCCTGGGTCTACAGCCTCAGTCCTGGGTCTACAGCCTCAGTCCTGGGTCTACAGCCTCAGTCCTGGGTCTACAGCCTCAGTCCTGGGTCTACAGCCTCAGTCCTGGGTCTACAGTCTCAGTCCTGGGTCTACAGCCTCAGTCCTGGGTCTACAGCCTCAGTCCTGGGTCTACAGCCTCAGTCCTGGGTCTACAGTCTCAGTCCTGGGTCTACAGCCTCAGTCCTGGGTCTACAGCCTCAGTCCTGGGTCTACAGCCTCAGTCCTGGGTCTACAGTCCAGTCCAATCCAACGACAGCAGACATCAGTTGGAGTCGTGAAGTAGGTTTTGTGGTGGACTCGAATGCCAATGCTCTACCAACTGAGCCACTTTCGCCCCAGAAGATATGTACAGTCTGTAATGTAGTATATTTTCAGAATGAGAACAGAGAGAGAGAGAAACCAAAAAAAAGAGAGAGAAAGACCAGAGAGAGATGCCAGAGAGACACCAAGAAAGACCAGAGAGAGCAAGAGAGACCAGTGACTGAGATATCACAAAGGGAGAGAGAGAGACAGACTGTAATCAGAGAAAGAGAGTACAGAGAGAAGAAAGACCAGAGAGGGAGAAAGAGAGAGACCAGAGACAGAGACCACAGAGGGAGAGAGAGTGAGACCCAGACCAGAGAGAGAGAGAGACCGAGACTAGAGAGAGAGACCTGAGAGAGCCTGAAACTAGAGGGAGACCAGAGAGAGATCAAGACTAAAGAGGGACCGAGACTTGTGAAAGAGACCAGAGAGACCGATACTAGAGAGAAAGAGGCCAAGACATCGTGAGAGAGACCAGATAGAGACCGAGACTAGAAAGAGAGACCTGAGAGAGGCTGAAATTAGCGAGAGAGGTCGAGACTTGAGAGAGAGAGACCAGAGAGAGACCGAGACGAGACAGAGAGCAAGACTTGAGAAAAAGACCAGAGAGAGACCGAGACTAGAGAGAGAAAGGCCAAGACTTGAGAGAGAGACCAGAGGGAGACCGAAACTTGAGAGAGAGACCAGAGAGACCGAGACTAGAGAGAGAAAGGCCGAGACTAGAGAGAGAGACCAGTGGGAGACCGAGACTAGAGAGAAAGGCCAAGACTTCAGAGAGAGACCAGAGAGAGACCGAGACTTGAGAGGGAGACCAGAGAGAGACCGAGACTTGAGAGGGAGACCAGAGAGAGATCGAGACTAGAGAGAGAAAGGCCAAGACTTCAGAGAGAGACCAGAGAGAGACCGAGACTTGAGAAAGCGACCAGAGAGAGACCAAGAATCGAGGGAGAGACCAGAGAGAGACCGAGACTAGAAAGAGTCCAGAGAGAGACCAAGAGGAAACAAGGAGAGACAGAGCACTAGTTGTAGTTGAATGTATATAATGTGATGCATGTTCAGAACAAGCTAAAACTAAAGTTGTGAAAGTGGCGGTGGTTGTTACGGTCCCCTCCTCGGGCTCGCCGCGCTCGGTCCAATCACTCTCACGCTCGTTCACAACACAAAGATGAAATAATCGTTTCAATTCTCCTGAAAGAGATTGCATTACCGCGTCCTTTTGAAGTCTGCTCGGCCGTCACTTCCCAAGCCTTTTATTATTTCTATCCTTGAAAGTTGGGATTCCAGAAAGAACGAAAGAAAGAAGAAAAAAGTCATTTTCTTTTTACCACCTCGATGACTTTGCAAAGTGATTCACATCAAAAAACCCTGTTCTTTGCTCCCAGAAATATCCGCCCTCTACATATAAATGGAAATGTCCCGTCTCCCTCTGGTTAACTGTGTTTCTGCCACAAGACCCTGGATTCAAAACACACATTTAAATGTTTACAATAAACGTAGACAAAAAATACACAGAGAGAGAACACAAACAAGAGAGAGAGAGAGAAGAGAGAGAGAAACCAGAGAGAGAGAAACCAGAGAGAGAGAGAGAGAGAGAGAGACTGAGGCCAGAGAGAGAGACCAGAGAGAGAGAGAGAAGAGAGAGATTGAGAGGAGAGAGACTGAGGCCAGAGAGAGAGACCAGAGAGAGAGAGAGAAGAGAGAGATTGAGAGGAGAGAGAAAAACCAGAGAGAGAGAGAGAGAGAGATAGAAGAGAGAGATTGAGACCAGAGAGAGAGAGAAACCAGAGAGAGAGAGAGAGAGAGAGACTGAGGCCAGAGAGAGAGGCCAGAGAGAGAGAGAAACCAGAGAGAGAGAGAGAGAGAGAGAGAGACTGAGGCCAGAGAGAGAGACCAGAGAAAGAGAGAGCGAGAGAGAGAAAGACTGAGAGCAGGGAGAGAAACCAGAGAGAGAGAGAGACACACAGAGATATAGAGAGACCAGAGAGAGACCAGAGAGAGAGAGACCAGAGAGAGACCAGAGAGAGAGACACACAGAGATATAGAGAGACCAGAGAGAGACCAGAGAGAGAAACACACAGAGATAGAGAGAGACCAGAGAGAGACCAGAGAGAGAAACACACAGAGATAGAGAGAGACCAGAGAGAGACCAGAGAGAGAAACACACAGAGATAGAGAGAGACCAGAGAGAGACCAGAGAGAGAGACACACAGAGATATAGAGAGACCAGAGAGAGACCAGAGAGAGAGAGACCAGAGAGACAAAACACACTGAGATAGAGAGAGACCAGAGAGAGAGACCAGAGAGACAAAACACACAGAGATATAGAGAGACCAGAGAGAGAGAGACCAGAGAGAGACCAGAGAGAGACCAGATGGGATCAGGTCCTGGCCTCGCTGCAGGTCTTTGTTCCAGATCAGAAGTCGGTCCAAACGACGTGTGTTTAAACATGGATGAGCCGCTGTGACCTTTGAGTCTCTGCAGATGGAGAGAGACCAGAGTGAGACCAGAGTGAGACCAGAGAGATACCAGAGAGAAACCAGAGAGAGACCAGAGTGAGACCAGAGTGAGACCAGAGTGAGACCAGAGTGAGACCAGAGTGAGACCAGAGTGAGACCAGAGAGAGGCCAGAGAGAGACCAGTGAGAGAGACCAGTGAGAGACCAGAGAGACCAGAGAGACCAGAGAGAAACCAGAGAGAGACCAGAGAGAGACCAGAGAGAGACCAGAGTGAGACCAGAGTGAGACCAGAGAGAGGCCAGAGAGAGACCAGTGAGAGAGACCAGTGAGAGACCAGAGAGACCAGAGAGACCAGAGAGAAACCAGAGAGAGACCAGAGAGAGACCAGAGAGAGACCAGAGTGAGACCAGAGTGAGACCATATAAGTATTCCATGTCCTCTCCTTGTGGCCTGTGGGAGCAGGAGGAGATAACAAAGCAGATGTTTGCTTTGGCGCTCGGTGTAAATATGAGACGAGCAGAGAGCGGGAGGAGACGAGGACCACGAGGAGCAGAGGGTAATGAGATCAGAGAGGTGCGAGCCTCGGAGTCTGCCCCACACACACTAAACCAACACCATTGCAGTCTGAGAGAGAGACCAGCAGAGGAGAGCACACACACAACACACTGTTAAACTCATGTGATCGATGGAGATGGTGTTTATGAGGCAAGTTTATTTGTATAACACTGTTCATACACACGGAAAATAGCAGAGTAGAGTAGAGTAGAGTAGGGTAGGGTAGAGTAGAGTAGAGTAGGGTAGAGTAGAGTAGAGTAGAGTAGAGCAGAGTAGGGTAGGGTAGAGTAGAGTAGAGTAGAGTAGAGTAGAGTAGAGTAGGGTAGGGTAGGGTAGGGTAGAGTAGAGTAGAGTAGAGTAGAGTAGAGAGTAGAGCACAGTAGAGTAGAGTAGGGTAGAGAAGAGTAGAGTAGAGAAGAGTAAAGTAGGGTAGGGTAGAGTAGAGTAGGGTAGAGTAGAGTAGAGTAGGGTAGAGTAGAGTAGAGTAGGGTAGGGTAGAGTAGAGAAGAGTAGAGTAGGGTAGGGTAGAGTAGAGTAGAGTAGAGCAGAGTAGAGCAGAGTAGAGTAGAGTAGAGTAGAGCAGAGTAGAGTAGAGTAGAGTAGAGTAGAGTAGAGCAGAGCAGAGCAGAGCACAGTAGAGTAGAGTAGGGTGGAGTAGAGTAGAGTAGAGTAGAGTAGAGTAGAGTAGAGCAGAGTAGAGTAAAGTAGAGTAGAGTAGAGTAGAGTAGAGTAGAGTAGAGTAGAGCAGAGTAGAGTAGAGTAGAGTAGAGTAGAGCAGAGTAGAGTAAAGTAGAGTAGAGTAGAGTAAAGTAGAGCAGAGCAGAGCAGAGCAGAGTAGAGTAGAGTAGAGTAGAGTAGAGTAGAGTAGAGTAGAGTAGAGTAGAGTAGAGTAGAGTAGAGTAGAGTAGAGTAGAGTAGAGTAGAGTAGAGTAGAGTAGAGTAGAGCCTGTAGAAACAGAGCCATAAACAAAAGGTGTCTCATGCAGCACTATCAAAGGTCAGTGGTTGGTGCTTGTGCCTCACAGTAAGAAGGTCCTGGGTTCGATTTGGAAAAGTCAGAGACAGAGATCAAACATACACACACTTATACTGTACACACTGCTATATATCCCGGCTAGCTGTAAATGCTCTACGTATAAGATAGAGACGTATATATATTGATACATCTCTGTCTGTAAATGCAGTTTGATCCCATTCCAGTCTGTTTATGTTTCTGTGATTGACATTGATCGTTTTAAACATTTCTTCGTCTGTAAATCCAGGAGCAGGTGTCGTCCGTCGGGGCAGATGAAAGCCCGGGATGGTGTCTGCGATAGGACGGAGATGGGAGCGCTGATACCACCTTCAGAGACCCAGACCTTTACTGCGGGATCACACACGCTCTCCCATAATCCTCCAGGCTGCGGGAGGCTCAGCCGGCCATCTGCCCCGGTGTCAGGTCCACCCGGGACAAAGACCCTGATCCTGCTGTGGAGGAAACAAGATGGAGGCTCTGCAGAGAGACGGGGAAGACCAGATGTTCTGATAAATGTTAGCTCTGTCTGATTTTATTGTTTAAGATTTATGTTTTCCCTGGGTCTACAGTCTCAGTCCTGGGTCTACAGTCTCAGTCCTGGGTCTACAGTCTCAGTCCTGGGTCTACAGCCTCAGTCCTGGGTCTACAGTCTCAGTCCTGGGTCTACAGCCTCAGTCCTGGGTCTACAGCCTCAGTCCTGGGTCTACAGCCCCAGTCCTGGGTCTACAGCCTCAGTCCTGGGTCTACAGCCTCAGTCCTGGGTCTACATCCTCAGTCCTGGGTCTACAGCCTCAGACCTGGATCTACAGCCTCAGCTCTGGGTCTACATCCTCAGTCCTGGGTCTACAGCCTCAGTCCTGGGTCTACATCCTCAGTCCTGGGTCTACAGCCTCAGTCCTGGGTCTACAGCCTCCGTGGACAGTGGTTTTGAAAGGCTCCGTGGACAGTTTTTCTGAAACGCTCCGTGGACAGTGGTTCTGAAACGCTCCGTGGACAGTGGTTCTGAAACGCACTGTGGACAGTGGTTCTGAATGGCTCCGTGGACAGTGGTTCTTAATCGCTCTGTGGACAGTGGTTCTGAAACGCTCCGTGGACAGTGGTTCTGAAACGCTCCGTGGACAGTGGTTCTGAAACGCACTGTGGACAGTGGTTCTGAATGGCTCCGTGGACAGTGGTTCTAAATCGCTCTGTGGACAGTGGTTCTGAAACGCTCCGTGGACAGTGGTTCTGAAACGCTCCGTGGACAGTGGTTCTGAAACGCTCCGTGGACAGTGGTTCTGAAACACTCCGTGGACAGTTTTTCTGAAACGCTCCGTGGACAGTGGTTCTGAATCGCTCTGTGGACAGTGGTTCTGAAACGCTCCGTGGACAGTGGTTCTGAAACGCTCCGTGGACAGTGGTTCTGAATAGCTCCGTGGACAGTGGTTCCGAAACGCTCCGTGGACAGTGGTTCTGAAACGCTCCGTGGACAGTGGTTCTGAAACGCTCCATGGACAGTGGTTCTGAAAGGCTCCGTGGACAGTGGTTCTGAATGGCTCCGTGGACAGTGGTTCTAAATCGCTCTGTGGACAGTGGTTCTGAAACGCTCCGTGGACAGTGGTTCTGAAAGGCTCCGTGGACAGTGGTTCTGAATAGCTCCATGGACAGTTTTTCTGAATGGCTCCGTGGACAGTGGTTCTGAAACGCTCCGTGGACAGTTTTTCTGAATGGCTCCGTGGACAGTGGTTCTGAATCGCTCTGTGGACAGTGGTTCTGAAACGCTCCGTGGACAGTGGTTCTGAAACGCCCCGTGGACAGTGGTTCTGAATGGCTCCCTGGACAGTGGTTCTGAGTGGCACCGTGGACAGTGGTTCTGAAACGCTCCGTGGACAGTGGTTCTGAAACGCTCCATGGACAGTGGTTCTGAAAGGCTCCGTGGACAGTTTTTCTGAATGGCTCCGTGGACAGTGGTTCTGAAACGCACTGTGGACAGTGGTTCTGAATGGCTCCGTGGACAGTGGTTCTAAATCGCTCTGTGGACAGTGGTTCTGAAACGCTCCGTGGACAGTGGTTCTGAAAGGCTCCGTGGACAGTGGTTCTGAATAGCTCCATGGACAGTTTTTCTGAATGGCTCCGTGGACAGTGGTTCTGAAACGCTCCGTGGACAGTTTTTCTGAATGGCTCCGTGGACAGTGGTTCTGAATCGCTCTGTGGACAGTGGTTCTGAAACGCTCCGTGGACAGTGGTTCTGAAACGCCCCGTGGACAGTGGTTCTGAATGGCTCCCTGGACAGTGGTTCTGAATGGCACCGTGGACAGTGGTTCTGAAACGCTCCGTGGACAGTGGTTCTGAATGGCTCCGTGGACAGTGGCTCTGAATCGCTCCGTGGACAGTGGTTCTGAAACGCTCCGTGGACAGTGGTTCTGAATGGCTCCGTGGACAGTGGTTCTGAAAGGCTCCGTGGACAGTGGTTCTGAAACGCACCGTGGACAGTGGTTCTGAAACGCTCCGTGGACAGTGGTCCTGAAACGCTCCGTGGACAGTGGTTCTGAAACGCTCCGTGGACAGTGGTTCTGAATAGCTCCGTAAACAGTGGTTCTGAATAGCTCCGTGGACAGTGGTTCTGAAACGCTCCGTGGACAGTGGTCCTGAAACGCTCCGTGGACAGTGGTTCTGAAACGCTCCGTGGACAGTGGTTCGGAATGGCTCCATGGACAGTGGTTCTGAAACGCTCCGTGGACAGTGGTTCTGAAACGCTCCATGGACAGTGGTTCTGAACGGCCCCAGGGACAGATCCGTGTGCGGCGCAGGACTGAGCGGCTGCAGCTTTGTGCCAAACACTAAATCAATAACCGCTTTCTGAGCCCGACCCCGCGGGCTCAGATCCATACGGGAGAGAGAGGACTCCGGCTAAAAGATGCATGAAGGCAGCTCTGCAGACCGCGGATTAGAGAGAAGAGCGTTGGCATCGTAATGACATCCTCCACAGCCCACTGTCAAGCTGTACAACGAACACGGGACTGGAACGATCACCGAGCTGTACTTACGAGCTAACACAGGAGAGTTTTAATCATTGTGCAGACCTCGGGTGAAAAGGACCAGCCACAGATGAGTCAAAGTAGAAGTGAAAAAGGCCAGCCTCAGTCCTGGGTCTACAGCCTCAGTCCTGGGTCTACAGCCTCAGTCCTGGGTCTACAGCCTCAGTCCTGGGTCCACAGCCTTAGTCCTGGATCTACAGCTTCAGTCCTGGGTCTACAGCTTCAGTCCTGGGTCTACAGCCTCAATCCTGGGTCTACAGCTTCAGTCCTGGGTCTACAGCCTCAGTCCTGGGTCTACAGCTTCAGTCCTGGGTCTACAGCTTCAGTCCTGGGTCTACAGCCTCAGTCCTGGGTCTACAGGTTCAGTCCTGGGTCTACAGCCTCAGTCCTGGGTCTACAGCCTCAGTCCTGGGTCTACAGCTTCAGTCCTGGGTCTACAGCCTCAGTCCTGGATCTACAGCCTCAGTCCTGGATCTACAGCCTCAGTCCTGGGTCTACAGCCTCAGTCCTGGATCTACAGCCTCAGTCCTGGGTCTACAGCCTCAGTCCTGGGTCTACAGCTTCAGTCCTGGGTCCACAGCCTCAGTCCTGGGTCTACAGCCTCAGTCCTGGGTCTACAGCTTCAGTCTTGGGTCCACAGCCTCAGTCCTGGGTCTACAGCCTCAGTCCTGGGTCTACAGTCGCTTTTTTCCCTCATGGTGGTTCCTTGTCTGTGCTGCAGGGTCAAAGGACAGTCATTATGCGCCACATCTAAGTACATTCATGAACAAATAAATGTTTTTGTAAACACACACGCACGCACGCACGCACACACACACACACACACACACACACACACCAGTGATGGGAATAACGGCGTTACTTTTTCAGTAACGAGTAATCTAACTAATTACTTTGACAGTAACTATAACGCCGTTATCATTTCCAACATCCCGTTACTGCGCGTTACTCAAGACGCACAATGAACGTGTTGTCATGAGAGAAGGGAGGATGAGAAAACCTCTCAGCAATTATTGGCTGATGTAAATCATATTTCCTTTACAATCCACATGTCTACAGTTGAGAGGATGGCTCATAAATTGTGTTTTTGAAACAAATATGGGTCTTAATCGCGCTCAACCACGGCTTGTATCACCGTGAGGCCTCAGGGGGGCGCATGTGAGCGCAGAAGTCGGCTGCATACAATTCCATCGATAAGCTCCTTGCTCTTCCTGGTTTATCTGCTACGGGCAGCAACAGGTTTGGCTAACATACATATAACACATTTTTACATAAACTAAAATGCACATAGGGTAATTTTTCAATTACTATAGGAATGATCAGAAAGAGAGGTGAAGTGTAAGACGGTTGATTTTAGAAATTGGATGCACTCGGCTGCCGCTAGCAAAACACAGGAGTTTATGGAGGAGACACGCGTTTTGTTTTACTTTTTAAAACTCATTGGACTCATTTCCAAATGGAGGATTACATATCTACGCTCAAACCATTCACTGGATTTAAACAAGGAACTGGTCTGAACCGAAGTGGCCTGTGCAGGTAGCTATAAGGTAAGACCCATAACTCATAGTTTTGCGTTTTGTATGAACAAACAATGCGGGCATAAAACATATTTTGCTGTAGCCAAAAAAATTGTCCACTTGATTTATATGATATATATGTTCATCTGATTGGACTGAAGTCAGTGCTTCACCAGCCTCACCGCTCGTCACCGGTGTTTCCACATTCACAGTGGCGGGCTTTACAGCACAGTGAGAGATGAAGAGTGAACAGGACTTCAGCAGCAAAACAGCCTTTTCTAGATGGAAATATTGGCACTGTTTCAGACTCACTGAGGTTAAAGGTTAAACTGCGCACGTCGGGTGCACATTATGTTCCAGAACTAAACGAAAAAGTAACGCAATAGTTACTTTTACTGGTAACTAGTTACTTTTATAGTGGAGTAACTCCGTTAGTAACTCAGTTACTTTTTGGGAGAAGTAACTAGTAACTATAACTAATTACTTTTTCAAAGTAACGTGCCCAACACTGACACACACACACACACACACACACACTTCTGTTCTATTAACAGATGAAAAGGAAAATTATCTGGTATTTTTAAGTTTCTCGATTTTTTTTTCTTCAGATGAAAACATTTCAAAAACACTTTTACAAACCTGTAAAATTTCATTAAAAGAGCAACTCCATTTTGTTACAGAAACGCACACTTACACTCAACCTTTTTGTGGCTGCTTCCTGGTAAAGGTGGTAACTATGGTAACCGTGACCAAAAGTCAGATTTTAGTCTTGGTTTGTCGCTTATTTCTCTGTTATTTCTGGAACAATCCAAATAAAAATAAAACTGTCAAAAAGTTCAACATCTTTGTCATAGTGCCACTCTCTCAGAGTAGGGTAGGGTAGAGTAGAGAAGAGTAGAGTAGGGTAGGGTAGAGTAGAGAAGAGTAAAGTAGGGTAGGGTAGAGTAGAGCAGATTGAAGTAGAGTAGGGTAGAGTAGAGTAGAGTAGAGTACAGTAGAGTAGAGTAAAGTAGAGTAGAGTAGAGAGTAGAGTAGAGTAGAGTAGAGTAGAGTGGAGTAAAGTAGAGAGTAGAGTAGAGTAGAGTAAAGTTGAGAGTAGAGTAGAGTAGAGTCAAGTAGAGAGTAGAGTAGAGTAGAGTAGAGTAGAGTAAAGTAGAGAGTAGAGTAGAGTAGAGTAGAGTAAAGTAGAGAGTAGAGTAGAGTAAAGTAGAGAGTAGAGTAGAGTAGAGTAGAGTAGAGTAAAGTAGAGAGTAGAGTAGAGTAGAGTAGAGTAGAGTAAAGTAGAGAGTAGAGTAGAGTAAAGTAGAGAGTAGAGTAGAGTAGAGTAAAGTAGAGAGTAGAGTAGAGTAGAGTAGAGTAGAGTAAAGTAGAGAGTAGAGTAGAGTAGAGTAAAGTAGAGAGTAGAGTAGAGTAGAGTAGAGTAGAGTAAAGTAGAGAGTAGAGTAGAGTAGAGTAAAGTAGAGAGTAGAGTAGAGTAGAGTAGAGTAAAGTAGAGAGTAGAGTAGAGTAGAGTAGAGTAAAGTAGAGAGTAGAGTAGAGTAGAGTAGAGTAAAGTAGAGAGTAGAGTAGAGTAGAGTAGAGTAGCCTTTCTGTCGTGTTCGGGTCAAATCTGACCGATTTCCTACTTTCAACAATCATACATTTTTTGTTTTATATTTTATAAAATATACACACACACCACGGGAACCCCTTTCAGACTGAACAGGTGTCTCCTCTAATAAGGTTTAAAGGCCTTATGAGATCCTCCACACTAGGCATTTGAACATGTACAATTGATGATCACCACTTTCGTTGAAATTTGAGTGGGTAAATCAACTTTGTAACACCTGTGGTGTTCCCAGTCAAAAATGACCTCCATAGGAAATGAATGGGTGACTCTAGATCCTTTCATTCACCATAGTGTTCAACACACACACACACACACACACCACGTGAACCACACCTTTCGATACAAAATGTATCATAATAGAAAGATATCTTCTCACTGACCCCCTACTGTATATATAGCTTTATTTGTGCATTGCTCTCATTTGACTCTGAGCACAATGACGAGGCGCCGGTTTTCTGCCAGAGAGGCTCTTGACCTTTTTTTGAAACCGATGAAGAGGGGATTCAAATCGAACAAGAAATAGAGGAGGATGTCTCAGAAATAGAAGACAATCCTGATTTTGATCCGGACTATAATGAAAACGACAAGTCAACAGATGGTGATGAAGAGGCCCCTGAGGAAGACACACGTGGGGAAGAGGCACCTGAGGAAGAGGCCCCTGAGGAAGACACACGTGGGGAAGAGGCACCTGAGGAAGAGGCCACTGGGGAAGACACACCTGAGGCTACATTCCAGTCCAAGGATGGCAACTTACTCTGGTATTCATCCACCCAGGACAGAGGAGGCAGAGCAAGAGTGGAAAATATTGTTAGGATGACGCCAGGGCCAACAAGGTATGCGACATCTCATGCGGTTGACATCAAGTCCAGCTTCCAACTCTTCTTATCAGAGTCCATTGTGGAAATAATACTGGAGATGACAAACCTGGAGGGGAGGCGTGTGTTTGCAGGCACATGGAAACTATTGGATCAGATAGACCTCCAAGCCTACATGGGTCTGTTGATTTTAGCAGGAGTTCACCGGTCCAACAATGAAGCGACAAAATGTCTGTGGGATGCAGAGTCAGGGAGGCCTATATTCCGGTCAACTATGTCCCTCCAACAGTTCCATGTTATATCACCTGTTATCAGATTTGATGACAGAACCACAAGACCTTTCCGCTGGCGAGATGACAAACTGGCTGCCATCAGGAACGTTTGGGACAGGTGGGTGGAGCATCTACCACTGATGTACAACCCAGGCCCTGAAGTGACAGTGGACAGGCGCCTGGTGCCTTTCAGAGGTCGCTGTCCATTCAAACAATACATCCCAAGCAAACCAGGCAAGTATGGGATCAAGATCTGGGCAGCATGTGATGCCAGGAGCAGCTATGCCTGGAATATGCAGGTTTACACGGGAAAACCTGTTACTGGAAAACCAGAAAAAAATCAGGGCATGCGTGTTGTGTTGGACATGACAGCATAATATCACATGTGATAACTTTTTCACATCATATGGGCTTGGTCAGGAGCTGCTGAAAAGAAAGCTCACCATGGTGGGGACAGTGAAGAAGAACAAGCCTCAACTTCCCCCTGCACTGGTGTCGACCAGAGGGAGAGAGGTTCTCTCATCGAAATTTGCTTTCACTGACACACACAGTCTAGTGTCATATTTTCCCAAGAAGAACAAGAATGTCATCCTGATAAGCACACTACACAAAGACACTGCTGTCAGCACAGCAGAGCACAGGAAGCCCCATATCATCCTGGACTACAACAGAAACAAAGGAGGTGTCGACTGCCTTGATAAGGTCATTCATATTTTCATCTGTCATGCATTTGATTTACTTGTATTCCTTTAAAACATTGCATTTTGTGTAAGACACACTCAATATTGTTTCTAATTATTAATAATTATCATTATTGTCTCTTTCATTGTAGCTTACTGGTACATACACCTGCAAGCGAATGACAGCTCGTTGGCCTGTGGCGGTGTTCCACAACATCCTGGATGTATCTGCATGTAATGCATATGTGGTGTGGACGGCGATCGACCCAGCCTGGAATCAGGGGAAATGTTTCAGGAGGAGACTCTTCTTGGCAGAGCTTGGGAAAGCTTTAGTGACTCCTCTAATTCAACGACGCCAGCACCTTCCCCATGCACCAGCTTCTGCCAGTCTGGTTAGGAGTCTGCAAGCCCCAGCCGCTGCCCTGGCCTTTCTCCCCCCAAATCAGGGGCAGAAACGAAAGAGATGCAAGCTCTGTGCCCCTAGAGACAATAAAACAAGTCTTACTTGTTTCAAATGTGATGCCTACGTTTGCAAGGCACACTCCGACCTGATGGCAAAATGCCACTCCTGTGTGTGAAGACACACACACACAGAGATTATATGTTCATGTTGATGTTCTGATCTGTGAATTTGTACTCAGTTTTGATTTTTGCTTCGTTCTCTACAATAAATGTTACATTTCGAATATAATTTACAATTTCTATGTGTATTTGTTGTATATTCACTACGGTTATTCATGTAAACCAGTAGTTTGAGGTATTGTTTACAGCTTTAAAGAGAGTAAAACATTTTTTAGTTATGATCAGTTATTTTGTGTAAATGTAAGAGCAGTTAAAACCGTCCGGTCAAATTTGACCGGGAACACCAAAGTAAGGGGGGGAAACGAACACGACACAAAGGGTAGAGTAGAGTAGAGTAAAGTAGAGAGTGGAGTAGAGTAGAGCAGAGCAGAGCAGAGCAGAGCAGAGCAGAGTAGAGTAGAGTAGAGTAGAGTAGAGTAGAGTAGGTTAAAAATAAAAATGATAATAGTAATTGGAGTTATTCGGACACTCAAAGACATGTCATTATTCTCTCCTCTGGCCACAGCTGCCCTGGGGCACAGCCTAATGACACAACAGTTTGACACCAAGACCAGATAAAGACTGTGGCACCTGGTGTTCCCCGTGGATCTATAATAATAACTGGATAGGATATTACTAGCTTACAGCTGTCCCACCCATGGACACAGGGGGCGCTGTGGTACTGCAGACTAAATTCTCGTGGGCTACCCAGAAAAAAGTCCCATAGAACTCAATGTAAACTAAAACAGCTCGACCTCAACTGACAGAGAACCTGACAGAGAACCTGACAGAGAACCTGCCAGAGAACCTGACAGAGAACCTGACAGAGAACCTGACAGACGACCTGATAGAGAACCTGACAGAGAACCTGACAGAGAACCTGACAGAGGACCTGACAGAGAACCTGACAGAGAACCTGACAGAGAACCTGACAGAGAACCTGACAGAGAACCTGACAGAGGACCTGACAGACAACCTGACAGAGAACCTGACAGAGGACCTGACAGAGAACCTGACAGAGAACCTGACAGAGAACCTGACAGAGGACCTGACAGAGAACCTGACAGAGAACCTGACAGAGGACCTGACAGAGAACCTGACAGAGAACCTGACAGAGAACCTGACAGAGAACCTGACAGAGAACCTGACAGAGGACCTGACAGA